GCCCTGAGCAGAGCCCTCCTGCCCAACATGTGCTAAAGCAAGAGATGAACCTTTGATGCTTTAAGCCACTGATATTTGAGGACTGTTTGTTTTTTTGGCACCGGGGATTGAACTTGGGTCCTTGTGCTTGCAAGGCAGGCAGTGGAACCACTGAGCTAAATCCCCGGCTGGGGACTGTTTGTAAGTGCAGCGGAACACAGTTTGTTCTGACTGATACAACCTCTCCCCAAGAACTGCCACAGGAATTAGGCATCTGAGGCTGCCTTTGGGTTTATAATCTAAGTGGCAAGTAGGCACCCAGAGGGGTGGAGCTGAACTTGTAATTCAATGTTTGCCAAACTGGAGTCCAAGAACTTTGTCGTTGGCATCTGTGAGCTTTCAAGTTTGGGAAACATTATTCTGGGTTATGTCTGTGTAGTAAACACTCTAGGCTTCAACAAAGGAGTTGTGTGTTTTTAAAAATATCTGTTAAATCAATGAACCTACAAATAGTTGAGGCTTTCCAGATTGTAAAGTCCTTGGGAATAAAGGGCTTTATAGGCTGAGGACATGCAAAAACATTGGTTGCAGGTAACCAATAACATGTTCCCACCAGCTTGAACCACAGCGGTACATGCACAACTGTCCCACCAGGCACTTGTACCACCTGAGAGGACTGTGCCATGCCACTCAATGGGACAGTCATGAATGCATCACTGGTGGTTCAAGCCAGCGGGAACATAACACATTCAAATCAGAGCCACCCAGTAGTAAGACACACAAATTTCAGCCCCATTATGACATGTGAAACACCTGACACATTATTAACACCAAAGATGTCAGCGAGTGTAATGGGGATCAGCTTTCTCATCGTGGAGACACAATATCTGACACTCACAACTTAACAAACAGAGGTAGAATCTGGCTCATGGTTTCAGGGGATTCAGTCCATGGCTTGTTGACTCCAGGGAACAAACGTCATGGTGGAAGGATGTGGTGGAGCAAAGCAGCTTATGGCAGCCAGGAAGCAAAGCAGGGAAACGGTGTCTCAGAGGAAGGGGCCAGGGACCGACAGAGTCCCAAAGGGCAAGCTTCCAAGACTCACCCAGACACACCAGGAGTGTGCTTTACTAATCCCCTCGGCAGATCCCAAAACGAAACAAACCAAAGATCCACCTCAACCATCACAGACAGACCTTCCCCACCCCGAGAAGCTTATGTTACGGGGCAGACGGTCTCGCCAGTCTCACAAACACAAAGGCGAAGCACGGCCTGGGAGAAGACGTTCATCCTGCACTCAGGTAACAAAACATCAGTAGCCCAGACTATATAAAAACTCCTGCAAAGCGCAACAGGAAGAAGGCGGACCACGCAAGAGCAGCTTGGCCGGTAAACAATGGGAGAAGCTGGTCAGAGAAGAGGGAGTGTGAAGAGACCTCGGCCTCCCTAGGCCAATCCGGAAAATGAAGGCAGCGCCATGACGGAGCTGGTGTTGCTCGGGGTAAAGTGAGTGCTCAGCTCCTGCCAACCCTGGGTGCGACCCCAGCACCTACATCGATACAGTTCCCACAAATCAACTCAGCACAGACAAGACTGTCCCATGCCGGCAGTTCTTGTCAGGAGGCTGAGGCAGGATTGCTGCGTGTCCGAGGCCAGCCTGGGCTACAGAGCGAGACTCTGTCTCAAAAAAACAAAAACAAAACAAAAAAACAAAAAGGGGGGGGGAGTATGCAAAGATGGAGTGGAGAGAGAAAACCTTGTGGAAGAGGAAGGAGGAAGAAGCCCAGACGTGAGGGCCTGGTGCCAGGGGGCAGAGAGCTCCCCAGAGAGAAGGCAGCGCGGTGCTGCCCACCGCCAATGCTGGTGGAGGGAGGGGCTATAAACACCTGTGGAGGTCCCACTTTGCAGCCCCACCCTGCTTCCCCCTGCCCCTCTCCATGCCCAAAAGGCCCTCAGGAGCAGAGCGGCAGCAGCGAGGGGTCACAGGGAAAGCGGCAGGGCTGCAATCCTCCGGCCCTCCGGTCACTCCGGACTGGCCGTGTCCATTTAACAGAGCAGATGGCCTTGGTCTTGGGACACAGCTGGGCCCAGGCCATGAACTGACCCGAGGAGTCAGTACCCACACGGCCAGGTGCAGGATTCCCTCTTACCTACAGCCCAACCCCAGGGAGTGCAGGGCCGGGGCCTGGCGCTGGGCTTGAGTTGAAAATGACCCGGAAGTTCACATGCCCTCTGTCACCTCCAACCACCGAGCCGAGATTGCTGTTCCTCCCTCCCTGTCACTTCAAACAGCCAGATGCGTGAGTGCTGGCTCTCCTGGAATATGAATGTCTTTCACAGGAACTAGAAAAACCAGTGAGACGCTCATCTCCCCAGTCACCCGAAGGACATCCTAAAGACAGCTTGCCGTCTTACACAGAGCAAGCGAAAAGAGGAACCAAAGGCCCCTGGGCCTGCTGATCACAGACGGAGGCCCCTTAAACTGAACGAAGGGTGGCTTCGAGCACGAGACGCAGAGCCCAGTGATCAGCGGTGGGCGAGGCTGCATGCAGGGCTGCTCCTCAGAGGGCCTTGTGCAGGCTGTCGACCGAGAGAGCAGGGATGCGTTTAGCAAATGGCGCTGAGACAGCCCCGAGCAGCTTGGGGACCCCTTCGGTGTAAATGGTAACTACAGCTGTCAGTCAGTAAGGGTCACTGCAGTCCAGCCGCAGGCACTGTGTCACTGACCCTGGCCACACTGGGAGGGACGATTATTGTTGTCCTCCTCCCTCCAGCCCTCCCTTCCTCTCTCTCTCTTCCCAGGCAATGCTTAGCCCCTGGGCTACATCCCCAGCCCATCCCCACTTTGCACATAAGTGCTTGGGATTCACAGACACCAAATGGCTGTGCCAGGTCACTGAGCTAGGAGGTGAAGAACCACCTCAGGGCTCAAATCCAGGAGTCTGATTCCCGGGTCTAGCCTGCCCTTGGGCTTCAGCCATGGCGGGAAGACTCCCTGTGTCTCTTGGCTGCCCGGTTCCCCTGGGGCTGCGCCTTGAGCTTCCTCTGGACCATCTCCAACCAAGAGAATCCGAACCCGGAGCACCCCCCCACACTCCCTCCACCCTGTCATAAATGTACAGTCTGCGGCAAATGCTTAATCTCCAGCAACTGCCTCCACCCACTGACTGTTCCAAATAAGTTGGCATAAGAAAAAACCTACAGATCTAGGTGAAGAATTGTGGTTAGTTAAGGAATTGTACTGCAGCTCTGGGGTAGAGCACTTTGCTTGCATGTGAAAGGCCCCCGGTGCGATACAAAAAAAAGGGAGGAAGAAAAAGAAGAAAAAAAAAATCTACTTTAGGCAAAGAGCCAATTCACTCAGTCTAAACACAGCAGAAATAACAAAAAACAATGTCTGGGGAAAATAACACGTGACCGAAACCAAGGCCACACACAGCTGCGACCAGAAGCAGAATGAACTCTCTGGGTTATCAACTCACAGCATGAGGCTCCCCTCTCGGAGAATACTTCTTGCTGCCAGTATCAGTTCAGCAAAGACTTCAAACCAATGGTGATAAAAGATGCACTTATCTTTCTCAAAAAGATTGTTTATAAGAACTGGAGCCAGGTGTGCCCCGCCCCCAAAAGTCCCAGCACTCTGGGCGGAGCAGGGAGGGTCATGAATCAAGAGTCCAGCCCGGGCTGGGAACGTAGCTCAGGGTGAAGGCCCTGGGTTTAATCCCCCGTATTGCAAATGAATACATACATACATACGAAACAAATACAATTTTCTTAAAAGGTAGGAAGAGGCAGCTGTTGGCAAAGGCCTGGCAGGTAGGGGACACAGCCCTGCTTGTCAGTCTGCCATGCCTGTGGTGTAAGCATTCCCACCGTAGCAGATTTCAAGCTACCAAGATGACAAACAGGTAAAACTGGGCCAGGGAGTGCACAGTCCACACTCAGGAGGCTGAGCAGTTGAAGGCCACACCGTCTGTCTGTCTGTCTGGCGGCTCCAGTGCTCCGTGCTCTCAGCCCCGCTCCGGTCGCACCTCTTCCTGCAGGTGGATGTGGGCGCTATCACGATTATTCCCACCCGTTCTTACTGAGGCTGTGCTGCTACTACGGACGGCTCAGGTGGTGGGCGGTGGTGGGCGGTGGTGTGCAGGAACCGGCCCAGGTCAGCAAGGAAGGGGCTCTGTCCGCTCCCACCTGCTGACTTTCACCTTGCTCTTCCATGCCACACATTCCCTCCTTAGTGAAGCTTTCCCAACGCCCCAGAATTTTTACTCCCAAAATAGTTTTTCTTACAAAATTTTACTTTCCCATTATAAAATTCGTACTCATTAGAGACTACGGAAAACTTCCAGGAGAAAGGGGGAAAAGTCCCTTGTGGCCCCACCTGCCACTCACCAGCACACTAGTTTGGATCTTCAATGTCACCTGTAGGGCAGGCTTGGTCCCAGAGTGGTGGAATGTTTAAGGGGTGGGGCCTGGTGGGATGGCTTCAGGTCTCTGAGAGGGTGCTCTTGAGGGGGACAGCAGGACCCCGGCCCCTTCCCTTCGAAATTCTCCTCCCATTCTGCTTCCCAGGGTGCTCCCTGCCATTGCCATCTGGAACCGCGCCAGAGGTCCAAGAGCAACGGTCCACCAGACCATGGACCGGACACTCCGAAACCGTGATCCAAAGTGCACCTCTTTCCTCTGGAAGAGGTCACCTCGGATGTGTATGTGTTCTATTGGCGGGCAGTGATCCGTCTCGGTACTCTTGCCTTCATGCCCTACATGATGACTGTATTTAAGGGAGAGCCCCTCCTGGGGAGAGACGAGTGTCACCCCGCGGCATCTGCCGTCCCCACTCCCCAGCTAACACCTGACAGTGGCTGGCGGTCCCCCATTAATCCAGGCACTTCAGCCCAACGTCTTCCCAGCTTCTCATGCCCATCCTCAGTCGTCCTCATCGGAGCTGAAGCGGGCTTTCTTCATCTGCTGACACAAACTTCGACAGCCCTGTCCCCGGCGGGCAGCGGGCACCCCCTTACCTGCATCCCTCTCATCCTCTGGAACCAGGCGATGGTGTCGCTGATGGTGTAGACACGCACGTGGCCCATGTGCAGCTTGCCCGAAGGGTAAGGGAACATGGAAAGCACGTAGAACTTTGGCCTCGATCTCTAGGAGACAGTGACAGTGGATATTCATCAAGCGCGTCCTGGGAACTCCATACACAGTAATATTTTGGTACTTTACTCGAGGTAATAACTTTGACATTTTCAAAGTTTCCTTTTCAAAAGCTGTTGTTACATAAATGGACAAAAATGTTAAAAACCAAAATTCAAAGCCCTGGTTTAACTGAAAGAATGTCCACAATAATGCTGAACAACGTCCAAGTACCAGTTACCCATGTTTATCATTAACAATTTTTCCCTTAAGGCGAGGGATGCAGCTCAGTGGTTCCTGCCTGCCTCACAAGCCCAAGGTCCTGAGCTCCATCCCTGCTACCAAAAGGCAAATAAACAATTCTTCCCTTTTAAAAGCTTCTAAGACACCATCTGTCTAGGTTTTATTTATTTATTTTTTCAGACAGGGTCGCTATGTAGTTCAGGCTGACCTTGAACTCACTGTGTAGCCCAAGCTGGTCTCAAACTTTCGGGGATCCTCCTGCTTCAGCCTCCCGCGTGCTGGGATTACAGGTGTACGCCACCACACCCAGCAAGTCATAAAGAGCTCTTTCTAATTGAAGCTCAAACACACATCCGTATACTTCAAGGAAGCGACATCGAATCACGCAGCTATGATATCTCTAAAAACAGGAGCCCAGCTTCCCCACAGCTATGCTCAGACCGCGAGCCCTCAGGGAGAGCAGGACCCCGAGGCCCCAGTTTGGTCTTGAGCACCTCAGTGCACGGTGAGCTTAGCTTTCAGCCGGTGAACGCTGTGAGAAGAGCTTAACCAACAAAGGGTACAGGTGGCTGTTCCCAGGGTGACAAACAGGCGGATGTGAATCAGAGCTGCCATGCAGCGTCTCAGAACTGTGCCCGGCAGAGCAGAGACCGGGTAGGGAGTCCTGACTGGGTCGCTGGCTCCACCTCTTTCTCCATCCGCCCCTGACGGGAGTCGAGTGACCATCAGATAACTTGGTCAGCCTTGTGGGAGGACTTTTTACCAGAGAGCATTTTCTCTGGCCTAGTTCCAATCCTGTCCGGGTAATAGAGGGCTTCTCTTCCCGGGCACAGGTTGTATGTGAGTGTGCGTGTGTGTGTGGACGTACAGCGGTCCCCTGAAGGAAGGAAGGGCAGCAGGGACAGTGTCTGTGGCTCACTGACAGTGGGACTGGCTGTGGTTACACTGCGCAATCAGGGATCGAACTCAGGCCCTTGCACTTGCGAGGCAGGCGGCGGAACCACTGAGCTAAATCCCCAGCCCAGCACTGCGTGATTTATTTCTGCCATTCTGTCCTTACTCCCTTTCTTGGGCTTTCGGGGACTTTTGTAAGGTTTTGCTTCTCTGGAAGCAATGAAAACAAATGCTAGAAGATTCAGAACGCTTCTTGTTTACATATGTGGGAGGGTGGTATTTTTCCCCTAAATTTGTTTTTGGGGTTTTTTTGGTACCAGGATCGAACTCAGGACCTTGTGCGTATGAGGCAGGTGCGGTGCCACTGAGCTACATCCCCAGCCCCTAAATATTTCCAAGACTGACAATGGACACAGCCAATCGCAATCAGGGGCAAAGGAACCAGAAATCAAATTCTTGCCAAGTTCCGAAACTTGTTTCAGCAAAGACGTTAAACAAGCCTTTAACAGATTCACTAACCAGTGGTACAAAAAAGAAGGCCTAGAGTTGGGCTTTTCTCTCTGCTGCCTGTCTGCTGGAAGCAGCCAACATCAGTGACGCTGCCCCGGGGAGAGAGGATGAAGGGCTCTGGAGGGTGCACGACCCTAGTCACCTGGGGCCGCCAGAACAACAGCCGCAAAGATCTACAGACAGAGGGAGCAGGCAGGGCCTTGGTCATGCCTTGAGAGATGCCGAGTTCCACACTCCTAGGGAACCTCCGAGTGTGGGAGACACCCCGGGACACAGGAGTCCGTGCAGTCTCCTGAGAAGGTGAGTCAGACTGCAGACGGAGCTGGGGCTCCCATGCTCGGCACCACAAAGGGAGAAGTGTGTGCGACGCACTGACAGTCTTCTCGGCCGGTGAGCAGGCCCACAAGGCAGGGGCAACAGCTCATTCTTTGACTGAGTGCCCAAATAAAATCGAGAACACCATCCACCTTCCTGTGATGAATCAGGCATCGCTTTTTCTTGGGGAACTTGTAGAGATACGGGAAAACACTTTGTTAGAGTCCTTTGGGCACTAGAAAAGCAGAAAAAAGCTTTGACATACGTTATTTCTAGCTTTTCATTTTAGAGTTTTTACATGAGCCATTTTTATTTTATTATAATCACCTTATTTTATCACACTAATGTTTATTCCACTACACTATACTGACTCAGCAATCGTGCACCAAGATTTTCCACAGTACTGCTTCTTCGCTGTCATCTCCCTTTTTTTGGTGCCGGGGATCGAACTCAGGACCTTGCACTTGTGAGGCAGGCAGCAGCACCACTGAGCTAAATCCCTGGCCCAATATCATCTCCTTTTTGTATGTTTGTTCAGTGAAGATTAAACAGCAAAATCAAATGATTCATTCTATATTAGCTAAGCCAAACTCCAAACCTGGGTTTATAAAAGAGACATAGAAAAGTATTGCTAGCAAAAGTCTTTAATATTCATGACATTTTTGTTTATTGCAGAAAATGTACTCAGCTGACAGCCTGCTCCTGCCTTTTAATTTTCTGCGTGAATTAAGGCACTTTCCCCTGTGACAATGAAATGAGTTTCATTTTGTGGGGGTGGAAAGGACAGGGGAAATTATGGGACTTTGTTATAATTGAGCAGGAATTTGACTGAAAGAGAAATTTTTGTAGTTACATAAAAGTGTAAGAATTTAAGCCTTTAAGAGAAATTAAGCGATGGGGAGAAGGCTCTTCCAAGCGGGCCCTGTTATTTTTGTCACCTGTAGAAGAGTACAGTTCTGATTTGTCTCTTTCTGGGTCGCACTTGGAAGCTGCAGCTGGCCCCAGAGGCTGCAGGACTCTGCTCCACCAGCTTTGCCACCAGCCAGCAGCCCAGGCACATCCCTGTGCCCTTCTGGGCTGTGTGCAGTCAGCCGAGAAGGATCTCCAAGGCTGGGCTTGAGTCCTGGCTGTGCCACCGCTGGCTGGGGATCTCAGCAAGTCCCCAAACCTCCCTGCAGGCTCGGCTGTCTTCCCCTGGAATGAGGACAATAATCCCTGTCATGGATGCCCTAGGGGCAAGGGGCGCCTGTCTTCATGGCCTCCGGCCATGGATGCCAACAAAGGCCGCTGACCAAAGTAACCCTGGAGACCAGGCACGGTCACCTGTGTCCTGCAGGCAGCGCCCCTGCTTTGGCTGGCACCCCAGCCTGACAGACCCTAGATGACACTGGGGAGGGCGCACAGTGGCCTGCAGAGGGGACACGAGGAGCGACTCCCAAAGCCACGGGGCAGGGTGGGGAAGCTCTCTCTGGTCAGAGAGGGCCTGGAGGGTAGGCAGGTCCCCTTGGGATTCCTCCTGACCACCAGGGTTCTGGGGAGTGTGGGGTACCCGCTTGCATTCCCACAGGTCCCTCACCTGGGCTGGCGTGGAGGTGGTGCTACCTGCTGCCTTCATTAGCTAGATTACTCCCAGAGATGGGGGAGACGACCACCAGAAAGACACCTGGCTCAGGGTAAAATGCTCATTAGACGGAAGTCTTTTTTTCACATGTTCATTATGGCCAGGTGTGGTGGCACACGTGTGACTGCAGCTAGTCAGGAGGCAGAGGCTAGGGGACTGAGTCCGAGCCAGCCCGCCAAACTTAGCAAGACTCAGAATAAAACCCTCTCTGGGCTGCGGACGGAGCTCGGTGGTAGCAGAGTGCTTGCCTAGCACACAGTTCAAGCCCCAGGACTAGGGGAAAAAGGTGACGATGTAAGACTTCTGACTTCTAAAATCTCATTTTGAAAAAGCCACCTCCTTTGGTGGACTGCAGAGTCCCCTAACCGCACAGTGAGATCGTGAGTGTGCGGCTTCAGCAGATGCTCAGCTCCTGACAGACACCACATGTTTCCATCCGCCTGTATCTTTATTTACGTAACACCTCAGCTTGTGAAATGTGTTCAGCCACATTCTCTTATTTGGCTTCAAAACACGTCAGTGTGATAAGCAGTGAGGGCCTGGACACCCAGGCATTAACGGGCTGGGGCACAGGGTTCCGGGCCACAGCAGGGTCACGGCCAGCCTCGGTGCCCCCACCCAGCGCTCTGTCCACCCGGCTCCTCCCCATCCATTCCTAAGTCGGAGCCTGCAGGGGACTCCCCAGCATCACTTCAGCCACTCCCTCACTTGTGGAAACAGTCAGCTCCCTCCATCTCAAATTTTTAAAACTATACGCTTAAGATGAATGAGATGTCACAAAATCCATAAGCCACAGCTTCAAAATGTCTGGAAACCAATGAATTTCAATCTAAACTGAAAGAGGGGAAAACACAAAGCGAACTTTACTTGCTCACTGAGAATTAAACCGCTCCCTAGAGTCTATTTCCTGAGGACACTGAGCTGTGTTATCTGGTCACGGTGACACACGGCTTTCCACTGGTAATCAGGTAAAAGTCAGGCTTTCGGGTAGGATCATACAGCACACGCGAACCTTCCTTTTCATCATCTCATTTTACTCCTTACAGACCGTGCCTCTCCCGACTCCCAGATTTCCTTCCTAACCAACGTCAAAAGCACCCTCTGGCTGCATATGCACTGCTCCCCTGCTCCCTCCCCATTCTTCTTAACTGTCAGCCTCCCAGGAAGGAAGGTCGCTGTGTGCCACAGCAAGGATCAGAGTGGGGGAAGGTGAGGCCCCAGTGGGATGTGCTCAGGTCTGTGCCGCTCATCACCATCATGAAGGCAGTTGGCATGCGCGAGTCAGGCCCCTCCAGTACGCGCGCTGCTCTGGTCCTATTCAAAGGATTCATGGAACAAATTGCATCGTTTGGACCAATGTTACGGAGTCAGGGTGTTCGCATGCAAGGCCGATCCTGCTGGGGCTGTTCCCAGAGAAGGGCGGAAACCATGGAAACCAGCTACAGCAGTGCACCCGGCGGTGGAGGACCGACCTTGTGCATCTGGACCACGAGCCATGGGCTCGGGACCCATCTGGCTGCCACTGCAGGGTGGGACGGCAACCCCAGGCCATACTGGGCAAAGGCTGGTACCCCCGAGCCCTGGTGCTGGAGCGGCAGAACAGGGCTTCAGGCCAAGGTCACCCAGGGAAGGGCAGCTGCCATCCTGGAGTATCACACTGCACCTGCCAGCTCCGTCTGCTGCCCCACCATGCAGCAGACCATAGTGGACCCCCACCTCCCAGTGCTGCTGTTCTGATGAGTTTGCCCCCATAAACGCCGCTCCGGAATGCCTGCAAGCTGCTCTCTGCCACACACCAGCACCCCAGGAAGCAGTTGGGGGCCAGTATCATCACCCTGTGGTTAGGTGAGAAAACCAAAGCACAATGCTGGCCATGGTGGCGCACGCCTGTAATCCTAGCACTCGGGAGGCTGAGGCAGGAGGATCACTGCAACGTCAAGGCCAGCCTGGGCTACCTAGTGAGTTCAAGGCCAGCCTGAACTACCTAGTTAGTTCAAAGCCAGCCTGAACTAGAGTGAGACCCTGTCTCAAAAGACCAAAAGAAAAATGCAGCACGGAGGCTCAGTAACTTGGCTTCAGGTCACACCTTCCTAACTTACCTGAACCAGGCAATCTGACCCGAGTCCAAGCCCCTGGCCCCCTTCTCCTCCTTCATACTCACATCAGCTTCGGAAACTGTGCAGCCTTGCTCCTTTATTCGCTGATGCCACCATTTCTCCACGGCCTTTCTCGTCTGCATCGTGTACACTTTTGTCCACTTCCCCGTAGCGCTGTAAATACTTCTGGTCCATCCTAGGATTCCTTTCCGTTCCCACCCCGGGACACTGGGGCTGCCACTCAGCTGCCTTGTCAGAAGCGAGGCACAAAAACCCAGCCTGGGCCAGACGGAGGCCATGTTTCCCGAGGTGCGGGCTGCAGGGCGGGCAGGAGAGCAGCTTGTCCTTCCGGTCAGCACGGCCCAGCTCACCCTGCCCGGTCACATGCTTTCTCCTCTTCTGAGGATGAGGACTCTTCCCTGAAAGGGACATTTGAGAAGTTCACTCTAGCTACACACAAACTTTTCAATGGAAACTATAAAGGTGGTCCGAGTCCCCAAACACCAAAGATACAAAACCCTTTAGGAAGAAAGGGAGCCCACGTGCAGGCAGGAAGTTCCCGGGTGGCAGGGAGGCAACGGAGCCCCTTGTCTTCCCTTTAGACCACTGGCTCTGCCCAGGGTGCTGCTCAAGCCAGCTCTTTGGGCCTCAGCAGAGTTTTAAGCCCCGCCTGGCATGGCCAAGGCTCAACCATCAGAAGGGACTGCAGCACAGCAGGTCCAGAGACTCCGTACCATCCCGGGCTTTGACAGTTTGCACTACGGGTTACACAGGCCTGACAGGCTAAGGCAGGAAACAACCACTATGTAGCAGGCTGCTCGTTAGTTCTTCATCCTTTTACCAAATATGTATTGAGTGCCATTAGGTCCACATACAGTTCCAGAAACAAGGAGTGGAGCTGTGAACAGGAGTTAAGGCCCAGCTAGGTTGAGGCTCAGTGGCAGAGCACATGCTTCACTTACACGAGGCCATGAGTTTAATCCCCAGTAATGGGGAAAGAAAGAAAGAAAGGCAGGCAGACAGACAGACCATTCTTTCATAGCAATTACATACTAGTAGGGAAGCAAGTGAGAAACAAATACGCCACGTGAGGGGGCACATGCCTATAATCCCAGCTTCTCAGGAAGCTGAGGCAGGAGAATTGCAAGTTCAAGGCCAGCCTGGGCAACTTAGTGAGACCATGTCTCAAAATAAAAAATAAATTTGGTAGAGCACCCCTACCAACTCCCCAGAGTCAAATAAATAAATAAATAGCAGTGGTGAATGCTATATAATTTTTGGAATACAACCCATATGTTGGGGCATACCAAGATATCCAGATGCAATTCAAAATTCAACTTTAATGTTTCATTGGTTTCATCCGTAGGTGAATTTCAGAAAGGACTTCATTGAAAAAAAAAAAACCCACGTTTTATCACTGTTGAAAGTGTTGAGATGAGATTTCATCAAATATTTAAGATAAATGACTAAATACCCTAAACCCTTAGCCTTCTTACATAATAGCACTGGAGAGGTGCTACAAGTGAAAAAACAGATCTTTCAAAAATACGACAGAAAAAAAGAAACTGGACGCTTAGACCAGTGTCAATTCTGATTCTCTCGTTTCCCATTGTCTACTAGGGATTGGCCTGTTTCACCAAGGTACTGGATCACAAATTCACCCAGGAAGGTCACTACAGGCCTATAAAAATGGAACCCAAACTCACGTGAACTGTCACCAGTGTTGCCATTTACCAGCGAATCTGCCAAACTTGTTTTTAGACTGGATCTTGCTGGGCAAGACTGTGGACAGATCAATACAAGCAGCAGGAAGACAGTCATTCTTTCACTTAAAACCCTAATCTGTCTCTGTAGCTTACACTCTGCATCACATAGTGACACTCCCTGTCTGCACCACCAGAATAAGCTGTTACATAATACCTGGCTCCCTAATAACCTCTGCTTTGCATAAGCTAATGGACTGAAATTCCTGAATCACATCTGGGTATATAAAAGAACTTAACAATGGGCATGGTGGGACATGCTTCTGATCCAGGCACTTGGTAGGCTGAGGCAGGCAGATCACTGAGAGTTTGAGGCCAGACTGAATTACAAAGCAAGACCCTGTCTCAAAAAAAAAAAAGCATTTAAAGTTCATAAAGACCAAAGCACAAACACGTCAGAAAGTGATGGATTATTCAATGAATATGGAAAATTTTCAAATGACAGCCTTACTTCATATCATAAACTACTGCCAATTTCAGAAAAATTAAAAAATGGTTTTTAAAGTATCATAAGACAAGATGAAAACACAGAGGAGTATTAATTAATGTTGACAAGGCACAAGATGTTCTGTTCTGAGCATAAAAACAATAGAAAGATTCCCAAGGGAAAATATTAATAAACCTGAGTCTCAAAAAGTAAAATATTGGGCCGGGGATTTAGCTCAGTGGTTTCACCGCCTGGTGCACAAGCACAAGGACCCGAGTTCGATCCCCGGTACCAAAAAAAAAAAAAAGTAAAATATTTGTATATCAAAAACATCATGGCCAATATTAGCAAATAATGAGTTCAATAAAATTTGTGTCAAAACTACTACAACAAAAGGTTATCCAACTCCAGGAAGAGTTCACGTGTGAAAAGAGAAACACCAAGAACCTAATGTTAGACATGGGCAAAGACGCGGGCTGAGGGTGTAGCTCAGCGGTAGACCTCTTCCTCAGTGAGCAAGGACCGGATTCAATCCCCAGCACCAGGAAAAGGGGCAGGGAGCAAAGGAAAACAGGACAGAAGAGGCACAAATGGTTAAACATGTGAAAAAGATCAACCTTAAAACTAACCAAACAAATACAAATTAAAACAAACATTTTGCTCATCAGACTGGCAAAAACGTGTGTAAATGAAATGAAATACACATTTTTATATACTGCTAGGGGAAGGTAAGTTGATTTCTGCTCTCTCAGGAGCAGTCTGGTAATATGCGTCAAGATCTTTTAAGAGAACTGGGGTCATGGCTCAGTGGTAGCGCATGGGTTCAATGCCCTGCACAAAAACCAAAACAAAACAGAGAAGCACAGGATGTACTCTAAGTTTTTGTGCTGAGGATGTAGTTCAGTGGTAGAGCGCTTGCCTAGCATACATGAGGACCTGGGTTCTATCCCCCATAGATCAATCAATCAATAACTAAATAACTTCAGGTTTTTATTGGCTAGGAAGACTCACCAGGAACCAGTGGTTTGTACCCATGGCTACGGTTTTACAGAACTTCCTGGCTCTCCGCCCTATTCCCTTCCTTTACTTCCCAGGCCCTACTCTTGACTACTCCAAGTACCTCTCTTTCAAAGTCTAACGGCCCTTCCTCTTCCTAACCTTAAGGGCAGCTATTGTGTTTGGAGACTGTAATAAAAGGAACGTGGATGTGTGGCTTAGGTCACGTTTATGAACAACTTGGCCCTTTTATCCCTTAGCTGTGCCTCACCCTCTTCCTTCACTTGCTTGCAACCCTGTCTCCTCCTCCACATTCTTCCACAGCATCAATCCCCAGTACTCTACCCCACTTCAGAGTCGGCCCTGACCTCAGCCATACTTGGAGGTTCAGGTTAAGGCTTTTGAGGTCAGAAGGGACCTAAGAACTGGACCCAAAATGATGATCATGTATAGAGAAACTTGGAGTAAGACAGTCAAAGAAACAGAATCCAGGAGAGAAGCACCTGAGGGCATTTGTGTACAAACAAAATAAGGAGGAAGAATGTACCTGGGGAAATCTGATTAAAGAAATTATGTTTTTAAAATACACGTTTTGTGTTTTGCAGTCACTAATTCCCTGTGTGACCCCAGGCAGCTTATTTCCTGTCTGGAAATTCATCTCTCTACTAGATAAGGCAGTAGACCCAGATGATTTCCGAGGTTCTTCGGGACATAACGTGCTATGGTAACGACCTGGGCCCCAAAGACGCCACCGATGACCCCTGACTGGGTCCAAACCCTGAGCCCAGCGGCAGAGATCCAGGGATGAACTGGGCACAGGAGCGGTGGGGAGAGGGAACGCGAGTGGAAAACCGCGCGAGAACGGGCGAGTTTCTGGGAAAGGATCCAGAGCTAGGGAAAGGGCCTGAGGCTTAACGATCCCGAAGACAGGCTCTCCGAGACTTCCAGGTCCGAAGCTGCCTGGTCCCAGGCCCACCTCTCCCTGCCCGTACCTTCCTTTCTGACCCCAGAAAATCGGGCCCTCCCGGCCTGCGGAGAGATCAGTCTGGCCGCGTCTCTCGACCAGCTGAGCTTCGGCAGGGGTTTACCTGCTCACAGGCTCTGGCCTGCAGCTCCTCTACGCCTCGTTCCCCGAGCCTTTAGGTGCACACGGCCCGGCCCATCCCTATGGGCGCCGCCATGTTGGCAGAACAACAACTTTATTGATAGCGGCGCCGCAGACACGGACAGGCTGGGCAGAGCGGGAAGGGGCGGAGCGACTGCTCTGGCTCCGGGCCCCGCCCCCAGCCCGAGTGTCGCGCTTCCGCCGGGGCTTTTGCCAAGTGTCTGCCTTCAATGCAGTACTGTCTTTCTGCCTCGGGGTTATTACAATTGCGGCAGAGGCCTGGGAGCTGTTAGTTTGGTGGCGCCTGCTTAAACCAGGCAGTAGGTGGTGACAAGTGCGCTGGGATAGTCTGGAGGCCCCGGGTTCCAGTCCCCAGGTGGCAACCACCCACTGGGCTTGGGCGGGTCCCTTGGCCTCTAGATCTCTAGGGATCCAGTGAGGGGTGAGGCATCTTTGCCTAGTTTGCTAGATCTCTAGCCCTGGAGGGGGATTACCTGGCCAATACCAAAGTACTGTACAGACACTTTTCTCTCCCAGTAAGCAGGCGGGGAGTGGAAAAGCAGGACGCACCCCTGCCACACACACAACACCCTCTTTTCCTGACTTCATATGTCCAAGTCGGCCCTGGGCCCCCAACCCGGCCAGCCAGTTCTTGCTTGTGATGATCAATGAATTGCAAACCAGTGATGTTAAGGTCAACTTTTTTAAAAGGTAAATCCTGTTTAAAGGAGAATTTGAAGAACATATATGTGGGCAGTCAGGAATACTGCAATGAATTAGCTAATTGTGCAAAATGGTTGATAATCCTATAGGACAAGAAAAAATAATGTTTGAGGGTCTCTTTTTTCTAGGGCTGAAATCAGTTGTACCTCTACCCAATAAAATTCCCCCGTTGCTGTTAGTTGGCTACTTCTCTTCTTACAGACGTGCGCAGTGGTCACTGAGAACGAAGATAATGGTGCACAGGCACACACAGTCCAATCCCCTGTGCTCTCCTCCCAGGGGTAC